TCTTCCCATCCTCTCCTCCCCTACTCTCCATCTCTCTTCCCTTTTCCCTTCCTCTCACCTCTCGTTCCGAAACAGTTTTCGAACAAACTCCTCGCTTCCCGTAGTCGCGAATGTGCGAGTCGACGTACCTGGAGTGCAGCTCAGCTCAGCTCAGCTCAGCTCAGCTCAGCTCAGCTCAGCTCAGCTCAGCTCAGCTCAGCTCAGCTCAGCTCAGCTCAGCTCAGCTCAGCTCAGCTCAGCTCAGCTCAGCTCAGCTCAGCTCAGCTGCCCGCATGACAAAATTCTGTACCTCTTCCGCACCATCTGCGAACATCGCGGACATCTCACAAACTCCAGACCTCCCGGGTCGAACTGACTTTTGAGCAAACTAGAAGGTGTAGCAGGAGGGTCGGAAAGTGTTGTTGACGTCTCTCGAACAGGCTGTCTGTTAGCTGACAACATCTTGTCCCTGTTCCTTGTGATCTGATCAACACTGCAGAAGGTCGTGGCGCTGCCAGAGTTGTCACAAGAACAACTTCGCAACGACTTTACACTCACTTTCCAAGGAACTTCCTGATCAAGTTGGCTGTGAGGGGAACATACTTGTTAGGAGAGGACTTTGAATTCCTGTTGACATGCGTCTGACTTTGGACGACTTTAGCGGATGAAGTGCTTGAGCTGTTTGGAAAGCAATCATCACAACCACATTGCAACACAACAGGCATCATGTTTGTCGTTCAGACGTTGCTATCTCTCATCATTTCATCTCTCATCTCAACAACCCGCAAACTCATCATTTAACACCTCCACCAACAACCTGTCTTCATCTTGAGCTTGGAAACCTCTTTCTCGGCTCTGAACGGCCCACTTTCCACCCCAATTTCCATCCTGCATGGCTCGCAGGCAACTGCCGAGCATGTCAAAGTGTCTTAATTTCATCATCATCATCATCATCATCATCTCACCCTCCGCAGAACCACTGGCCCTCAGGGACTCGTGGCAGCGGCGGCTTCAGACAGTACAAGTGATACCCATCATTACACCGATCACACTTCGAGACAAAAAATCAGTCAGCTCGAGAGGCAGCCGCTTGTTTCTACCAGCAGCATCTTCGCTTCATCTTCTGGACTCTCACAGACCTGTCGAGCTTGTCAGGAAACAAACTCTCTGAAACATCAAGTCTTTCCTGGCACATGTGCTCTGATGAGACCTCTGCGCCGTCGGGCACGTTTGCGCTGGCAGTTTGTCTGTTTGAGATTATCAGGTCGAGATTGAAGAGAGAAACTATGATGTGACGAGACAAAGATTGATGACATGAGCGAGAAAGGAGTGAGAGAAGCTGGTAAGATTGAGATGACAAGGCTTTAAACAACTTACTCGTTGGTGAAATCGTCTGACAAGATCTGATAACTCGATGTGGCACTTTTCCTGCCACAGAGGTTGGTGATTATCATAGAAATCTTTGTTGGTATTACTGCTCATCCGGATTGAACGACGGATCCTCCGACTCTTCCTCTACACTTGGCGACCTTGGCAATCTTTGAGCAGATTTTGTCGAACGGTCTTCAAAGATCAAGTAGAGATGTCAAGTCACCAACAAACTCATACAATCGGATCTCATACCTGATGCTCTGTGTTGTACATCTCGATTCTTACAGCGAGAACAGAACCAGTCGGTGTCAGGAATGCTTGCAAACTTCTTTCAGAGATGGGGAGTGGTGACAGCACAAGACTAACGCGTTGAGCGCTGGTCGTAGGCAGTAGATGTGAT